AAAAAGAATTATTGAGTAAGACATGTCACAAGACTCACCAATACAGTCAGGATGTGGACGGCTTAACAAACACGCGCCCACGCGCCATGTCTCTTCGTCTTGAGCCATTTTTGTTTTTCTTACCGACAGTAACTGGGGGAAGTAGTTTGTGGGCCCGGAATCCCACTGCGAGTTGTTGTAGAATTCCATTTTTAGCCTAGGGTAGTTATAGAATTCGGTTTTGGATGGTTTTGGAATCCGCTGAAAGTACATAGAGGCGTGTTTGGCCGACCTTTCCGGTAACAGGTGTTATCAGAGAATGGCTTGCCTAAAATAAAATTTTGAGACAATGTTTGATTTGAAGTGAGGGTATGGAAGAGGAAGAAGGAGAGACGGCAAGTAATTTTATTTAATTAAATTAAAATATTGGTGTAATATTTTAATTTAATTAGATAAAATTATATATATTTTAGTTCTATTCGATTCAAATTAAAAGGACTCTTAAAGTTTTAAAACAAAAATGATTGTATAATTTTAAACTATTAAAAAAGTCCAAAATAAGTTTAAATGGTTATATTGCTTGGAAGGTTTTTTTCTTCTTAAATTTTTTATTACACAATAATAATATACCATAACTAGACCTCAAGGTGTGATTTGTGCACTTCTCTCTATTTACTTTAGTTGAATGTTTGTTGATTATAAATTTTTGTTAATGATTAATTAAATTTTATATTAAATTGTTCTTTTAGATAATCACTAATTTTAAATCATAAAGGAAAAAAGTTTGAAAGGTAAGATATAAAAGAAGATTATACAAATTTAATATGTGGGTGTCAAACTTCTTATGTTAGCTTTGAACTATCTAATATATATAGTTAAACAATTTAATATATATTCTTTTTAAAAGATTGTTGATTATTTTTAAAGATTTTTTTGAAGTACATTGGATATTTATTTAAGAATTTATAATAATTTTATATATAGTTTATTAAGTTAAGATAAAATTAATTAATTTCTAACTAAAAAAGTGATAGCACACTGTAAATATTATAAGCATTGATGAAGTATAAGCACCTTAATATTTGAATTATCTCTCTTTATTAATAATTTTAAAATGTACATTCTTACATAATAATCTTCAAAAGAATTACTCTACTCTCAATTTATAATAAAAATGACTAAATTTTTTTACATCTAAACTCTTTATTTCTTACAAATTTTCAATGCAAGCCAGTCCCTGAGAATATTATAGGATTATGCTTACATAAACTTAATCATTTAAACAATTAATTTTGTTAGAAATTAATCTCAAAACTTATATTTTGTATTGATGTCTTTTATTCATTGTCGGCTTCTGTTCTTTTAACATTCATGTGGTAGGCAAATGATTCTTACCATTTACTGGGACACTAATTCCTCTTTTTATGAGCCTCTGGCTTCACTGGACATCGCTTATGTTGTTTTTAGTTTTTAATTTTAGTCAATGATTTAAATAATTTAATGATTATTTTTTTTAGAAATAAAAATTCATGAATTCGAATCGCATGACATATGGATGAGGTGGAATAAGAGATAGGAGATGATTGCCTTTTATTATACAATTAAAATAAAAAA